CAAGTTCTTGAAGAACAGAAAGTAAATCACCCCAGGGAATTAAGAAAATTAGAACACTTAGAGTATAAGTTGAGCATCCCTGATCTGAAAATTTTAGGTTAGAAATGGTGCAGAATCCAAAATTTTTTAGCACTAATGTGACACCACTGGCAGAAAGTCCCATAACAGCTGGGTGTGGGGCACATGCCTGTAATCCCAGTACAGTCCCAGTACAATGGGGACACATGCCTGCAATCCCAGGTTGGGGCAGGAGAATCATCCTGAGTCTAGGCCAGTCTGTGCTACATAAGTGAGTTCAGGGCCCTATCTCAGCCTCTCCACCAAAAGAAAATCCTATAGCAGGGTGCAGTCAAAATATAAGCACAGTAAGCCTGGGGATGTAGCTCAGTGATAATAGGCCGTGTGTAGCGTGCGATAGAACCCTGTCTTCAATCCTTAGTACCACAAAAACAAAGCTAAACACAGTTATACAAAAATATTGTATAAAGTTGACTTTTGGCTGGGCGTGGTGGTGCATGCCTGTAATCCCAGCACTTGAGAGGCTGAGGCAGAAGGATCGTTGTAAGTTCGAGGGCAGCCTGGGCTACATAAGTGAACAACACAAGGCCAGCCTGAACTACCTACCAAGACCCTGTCTCAAAAAGACCAAAAAAAAAAAAAAAATTGCCTTCTGTGTGTATAAGGTGTGCGTGTGAAACCTAAGTTTCTTGTTTATATATGGGTCCTATCCCCCAAATGTCTCCTTATTAAATATTCAAATAGATCTGAAATAACCTTTGGTCCCAAATATTTTGCACATTAGATACTCAAAACTGTAATTAAAAACCTTCCATGATAGTCTATAAAAGTTTTATTATCAAACATTTAAACTAGAAATACAGCAATTTTAAACTTTGTTGTTGTAGTAGAAAGTAGCAGAATAAGGAACATTTTTCATTTCACTCTTTGGTGCTGGAGTTTCCCTGATAACAGTACCAGGGCAGCATGTTGGTGGAGGGGAAGGGTGACCTGCATATGCCGAATACTCTGAGTTGATCCCTACCCAATGTATACATGATGAGAACTTTACATTGTACATCTCTCTGTACAGATACTATACCATTCAAAGACATTCCCTAATAGCAGATAGACTTATCCGAGGAGTTTGAAGCTTTTTCAGTATTTGATCATATTGTTAAAAATACCATATTAATTAAATGTGATACAGATGCACAGTAGAATACTATTTAGCCATAAAAATAGTGCAGCCCATGGGGCTGGGGATGTAGCTCAGCGGCACAAGCGCTTGCCTGGCAAGCCAGAGGTCATGAGTTCAATTCCCAGTACCAAAAAAAAAAAAAAAAAAAAAAAAAAAAAAAATAGTGCAGCCCTGTCATTTGTAGTGTCAAGGATTCATGTGGAGATAATTTGAAATAAGGCTCAGAAACACAAATACCACATAATCTCACTTATGCATGGAATCTTAAGAAGTTGATCTCATACAGGTTGAGGGCAGAAAGATAACAAAGCCTGGCGGAGTAGTGGGGAGTGATGGCTAGCAAAAGGTTGCTTAGTGAGTAGTACTCCAAGTTACAGTTAGATAGGAGCAAGAAATTCTGGCATGCTGTTGTTCAGTATGCTGCCTCTGTGAGGGCCGATCCAAATACAGTCACCTCTGGCCCCAAGTGCCATCCAGTGAAAAGGCAGCGATCTTCAGTAGGAGAAGCAGCGCACTGAGCCTTAGTACCAATGTGTAACAAGTTTCAGCTTGTTTGATGCAGTTGATTGTGAGCTACTTTCGAGTGAAAGTGTGTCTTAAAGTGTGCCATAAGGGCTGGGGATTTAGCTCAGGGGCACAGGCGCCTGCCTGGCAAGTGCAAGGTCCTGAGTTCGATTCCTGGAACCCCCCCCCACACACACACACAAAGAATGAAAAAAAGTGTGCCATAAATCCCAGATCACAAAACATTAAGATGTAATTTTGTCAGTTTCACTGGAGTTGTGAGATAGCATTGCTTTAGATTTTAGCTCTTAAGAAATGTCATTGTTGTAGTGTGAATTTGCAAGGGAAACCGTTTAATACAAACACATAATTTATAGGATTATTTTATAATAGTCACTCAAAGGTTTAAGTACAAAAGAGTGCAGGAAATCTGTCCACATACTAAAGCCCAAAGAATGCAGCTGAGGGCCCGGATCCACAGCAATGTCTTGCATGAATCCAGCTGAAGACTTAGAGCCCATAACAGTACCCTCCATGAGTCCAGCTGGAGGCCTAGAGCCCATGACAATGTCCCATGCAAGTCTGTTTCAAGGATCTACACTAGAAAGGCCCCAAGGTCAGTGTTGGAAGCTAGAAAATCTGTGCCTGTGGAATGAAGGGTCTGGGCCAGCAGGCTGAGGGATCTGCCCTGGAGCCCGGAAGCGACACTCAAAGAAAGGACCAGAGCTCCCCCGAAAAGTACCACAGCCGTACTCAGCGACAATGAGGTCCCGAGCTCCTCGGACGATTAGAACAGCTGAGTTCATCTTAGGAAGGCCAGCATGTCAAGCTTCTCCATGAGATTGAACAGTGCACCATCTTTCCCTCAAGAGCCAGGAAGCGATGCTCAGAGTAAGGACCAGAGCTCCCGCAAAGTGAACCATAGCCACCCTCAGCAGCAGCGAGGTCATGAGGTCCTGAGCTCCTCCGATGAGAACAGCTGAGTTCATATCAGGAAAGCCAGCATGACAGGCTCCTCCAGGAGAACCAACAGCACCGCCTTCCTCTCTGGTTTTCATTTTATGTTGTTGGCAGCAACCCTCAGGTGGGCCCTCCACACCCAGCATCAATCACCCTGGTTCAGTTCAGCTGAGTGTTACAAGTTGCCCACCCGTTGTCAATCCACAGTCATCATGAGAGATGAAACTTAGATTTGTGTAAGACCGAGCATCTCCATGGACGACAGCCTGTTCTCATATGGAAAAGACCCAACATTAAGGTGATGTTGATGGTGTTTTTTGACCTTGATGGAATTATGGAACTGGATTGATACCCAGGAAGACTACAGTGAACTTTAAAGATTACCAGAGCTTACTACAGCATTTAAGAAACTATGCATATAGAAAATGGCCTGAAAAATGGGTAGTTTCATCCTCTTAGGATAATGACTGATTTTCGAATGGCAGTTTCTGTCCCCTAAGAACATTATCCTCATTCACCTTACTCACTGGATCTGACACTGCAGCGTTTCCCCAAAGTCAAAATGACCATGAGAAGTAAATATTTTAAATTGATTCAGGACATCTAGGCATCCAAGACAGTGCAACTAACCATGCTAATGAAAGAGGACTTCCACAGCTATTTCAGAAAATGGCAAGATGATGGGATAAGTGTATGTGAAGGGAGGAGGAGTATTTTAAGGGGGATGAATGGCAATGTGTCTTTTACTTTTAGGAATTTTTTACTAAAAATCTACTTTAAGTAAATTTTTAAAAAGTAAGCACTCTGTATTTTTGATAACAATAATATATAGCATACTTCAAAAAGCTAGATTTTGCAAATTTTCACTATAGCGAAATAATAAATGTGTGAGGAAATAGATGATTAAGTGGTTTCAAACATCATATAGCATACACATGTGTTAAAACATCATGTTACAGCATTAATGTGTAGACTTTCTATATCTGTGTATCACTTAAAATATTTAATAAAAAATGACTGGTGGGGGGGGGCAAGACAGATACAGCTTTGTTAGTTTGTATTGTATAGTTTATACTTACTTTTGGTGCCAGGGATTGAGTTCAGGTCTTCCCTCGTGCTGAGCAGGCCCTCTATAGATACAGTTTTAAAATGCAAATGGATCTACCAAGAAAATCCCACCCAGAAATATGACCCTTTATAACTTAAGTCCATTTGGGAACTTGTAAATGTTTCTGGGGTCGTTTTATCACAGTGGCGGTGAACCTGGCACACGTGCAGCAGCAGGCTGTTTGTATCGCTGAAAGCTCTGCTTCTGTGTTTTTCTTTTCACGTACGAATTGTTTTTCTGAAACTAAAACCTCAGTATGCAGGTTTAATTGCAGGGTTGGCACTTTGTGATAGATAAATAAGTGGGTTTCAGGTTGCAGTTTGAACACTGGGTCTTCTAAAGGTGCACTGTCGCTGGTTTAAAAACTGTGATTTGAAAACAAAACTAGAAGTACAATCATGAAACTTTTGAAAGAAAACTGTAAATCTTATTGACCTGGAATGACGTCGCAATGAAGAACCAACTCTGGGAAAGGCACTGTATAGGCAGTTTCAATAGATATCATGGCAGCACAGAGACAAATTTCATTTTATTTTTGGAAAGAAGTTTTGACTGTGTTGTTGAGGCTGGAATAGAACTTCTGAGCTTGTGCGTATCCACCTCCTGAGTGAACGGGGCTCACAAGTATGCAGTGCCACACCCAGCGTGGCAGAGAAAAATTTTACGCTGGTGAATTAAGTGGGGGAAATTAATCATCTGACCAGTTGGTAAACTAGCCCTTAGAATTCAAGTTGGGAGAAATTACAAGATGTGGGAGTAAGTTTTAGTTCTGTGGAATGACATCATTTTCACAGTCATTTAAAAAATTACGTGAGGCAGGAGGATCACCATGAGATCCGGGCCAGCCTGGGCTACATAGTGAGTTCAAGGCCGGACTGAACTACATAATGAGACCCTGTCTCAAAACAGACAAACAAGTAAACAACAACTATATATGTATAAATGTATATATAAATGAATAGTGTAATTTAAGGCATATAACGTCTCTCAGCATGATGTCATACAAAGGCATCATAATAGTTTTACATCTGTTATTTATATCTTGCTACTTTAATGCTATGACACTAAATTGGTATTCATAGGAAAAATGTATTTTGGCTTAACTTTTTTATTTTGAACATTTTTATGTCCCTAATAATTTATTAATATTTTTTAAATGTATATTTTAAAAAATATTCCACCCACATGTGCAGTCATGTTTATTTTTACCCTTCGTTTTTTGTCTTCCAGGAATGCTGTTAGTCACAACAGATACCCTTGGCCATGACTTCCATGTCTTCCAAATCCTGACACATCCTTGGTCCTCCTCGCAGAGTGCTGTCCACCATCTGTACACTCTTCACAGGGGTGAAACTGAAGCCAAAGTAAGTGAAGTTTCCAGAAGGTTGATTTCTTTGTGTAATACGATATCTAATCTGGTTGGTTATTTATATCACATTGGAACTCAATGTTTGTCAGAAAGTATTGTTCTCTGAAAGCGAGTGGGTTAGATTAAATGTTAAAAATATCCCTTTTGACCCGGTAAATACATAAGCAATGTTAACACCTTATAATTAAAAATTTAGTGAGTTTTACTAAAACAGTAGTTCATTTTATACTGCACTTCCCAAACTAATACCATGTCTTGCTCCAGAGAAAACTCTCATTCAACTATCTCTCCAAACTTAGCATTTTGATTTTACACACATACGTACACACGTACATACACACATATACACATATTCACAAATATACAAAAGTAATTCACTTTCCTAATAAGTATGGGCATATGGATATACTGCCAGCAGTTCACAGTGCTGTTGAAACCTGGTTGTGCATGTCTCTCCCCCACCACTTCAGTTAGTGCTATCACTTTGGTAATGTAAAATCACCGGTGGTGCATATATTTGATGAAGAAAATTGCTAAACACTGCTGCTTTATCCCCAGAGAGCCAGTTTTTGTTTGTTTTTTTTGTTTTGTTTTGTTTTTCTCCGGTACCGGGAACCGAACTCACGACCTTGCGCTTGCCAGGCAGGCGCTTTTGCCACTGAGCTAAATCCCCAGCCCCGAGAGCCAGTTTTTAAATGTCTGTATATGTAACTGTACAAACATACATGCCCCCTCCAATTTACTGAGTAATATTGTGCACCATGTTAAATAATTTAAGTATATTTTCTGTTTAAATGTGTAGTGTTTTTAATATCACATTGTGTAGAGACTGTATATGTCTCAATAGCCTAAAATCCCAAATAGCCTTTTGTTTCACAGAGCTGTTTTTGATGTATTTACACCATCATGTGTCTGTCACTCTAGGTGTGTCTGTCACTCTAGCCTGTTGACCCTATACTATTTATTGGATAGTCTGTTCTTTCTCAATAGTCTGAAGTGCTGTTTCTCTTCAATTCCCTTCAAAGCAAATGACTGTAATAAAACATCTTAAATACTACCTATAGGAATTAATGAATTAAAAATGATACATAACAAAAGAATTGGGTAGCTTGTTACTCACTATTCTGAATGTTGCTGGAGTATCCACCATTTATCCTGCCTTTCTTCTGTCAAGTTAATATAACCACATAGTTAATGAGAGAATGTTTTTCTGTTGAATTCCAACATAATATAATAAATATTAGAAAATAATTGTTTTCAATTATGGACTTAATAATCATCTCTGTTAGGTTTTAGCTGATGAATCTTAGCGTTACTCAAGTGGCGCAATCATATATTGTGTGCTTAACAACATGATGTAATAGGGTATGATATCATCAATGAATTACTCTTGCCCAGATCTTTAAATTAAACCTGTATCTAATCCAGCTTCTAAATATAATTAACACTCTAAAGAAAGTACATAAATGTTAAACACCACCATCGGAATGTGAATAGCCAGTTCTAAAATGTAGGAAGTTTTAGAGTATAAATGTCATGTAAGAGGTCACACCTGTAATCCCAGCACTTGGGAGGCTGAGGCAGGAGGGTGGCTGCAAATTCAAGGCCAGCCTGGGCTACATAGTGAGTTCCGGCCAGCCTGAACTACATAGCAAGACCCTGTCTCAACCCTCACCCCACAGAAGTGACCTAGCTTCTTTGACACGTAATTATAATGGGAAAATAAAAGTTGGTTTGTAGTAGGGGAAATACTGTTAAAGATTAAAGAAGATGTTGGAGAATATCATCTAAGTGCAAAGTGTGGATTGCTTTGAATCCTCTCTCATACAAACCCAGGTTAAAAAGATACTTTTTTCACACAAATGGTTAGTTTATTTTGTGGTAGGGATTGAACTCAAGGCCCTGAGCTAACATTGCCAATGCATTTTATTTTATTTTATTTTATTTTATTTGTATGTTTATTTTGACACTGTGTTTTTATAAATTGCTTAGGCTGGGCTTGAAGTTCATCCTCCTGCCTTGGATAGTCTGTTCTTTCTCAACAGTCTAAAGTGCTGTTTCTCTTCAATTCCCTTCAAAGCAAATGACTGTAATAAGTGCTAAGGGAGATTTTTATTTTTGACTTATGAAATAATTAAAGTCCTTAACTTTTAGCAAAACAGTAATGTGATACAAAGATAGTCTGGAATTTAAAGTAAAATAATAAGCAGTAGAGGAAGTTTGATGAGGTGGTATAACGAGCGACACGAGGAAAAGGCGGCAGGGTTCTGTTGACTACAAGAGATGCAGGAGGCACATCATGTGAGTGGAGTGTGTAAAGTCTGTACCCTAAGTTAAACAGAAAATGAGGAGACATTTTTGAGACACTTGGAAAACATTGCCCAGGATCTGGGTCTTACATGATATTTATTAAGTACTATTAACCTGCTGTGTGTGAAATTATAGTGCAGTTACGTTGTTTTAAGAAAATCTACCTGATGTTCAGATGTTGTGCCTTCACAAATAAATTTATTTCTGTTAAAAAAAACCCAAGAAAATCTTTCTATGTTAGGCATTCAACCTGAAGTCAATCATATGATATTACTAATTTGTGTTAAAATTTTCTGTCAAGACAGAAATGACACAGATTCATAAGATTTGTATTACGTTAATAATTACTGAAGATAGGTGATGTCTGTGTCATGTGGTACATTTTAGCATTTTATGTGTTTGGATTTTGGGGTTTTTTGTTTTTTGTTTTTTTGTTTGTTTTTTGAGACAGGGTCTCACTGTGCAGTTCAGGCTGGCCTTGACCTCAGTTTGTAGCCCAGGCTGGTCTTAAACTCACAATGATCCTCCTGCCTCAGCCTCTGGAGTGCTGGGATTACAGGCATGTGCCCTCATGCCCAGTGTTATTTTATGTTTGGAAAGTCTCTAAAAGAATGTAAAAATAAAACTCTTTAACAGCATTATGCCGTTTGGTTTATTTTAGCTTTATAACATGATTTACCATTCATTTTCTGTCATTTCGCTAACTATTGTCTTTAGGTTAACTTTTTTGGGTTATGTAGATAATCCTATGAAGATTTTCTTTGGGGGAAAGTTACATTGAAATGACATTTTCATAGTTAGAACTGACATTCCTACATTATATAAGCTTTTTTAGAATTAGTTATTGTTGTAGTGTAGCTAAACTATTGATTATTTTATTCCAAATTTCTGTCTTCTTACTTTGGTAGACTGTTATGAGATCAAATAGTTTTCTAGTGAATTTTCTTTGTAGAGTGCTTTATAAAAAGTCACAGTTTTTATTTCTATCAAACCACTTGGCTAGACACTGTATACCATTTGTGCAGTTGTAATAGTGGTACTTTTATCCTTTATTTTCTTTTCCTTTGTCCTTATTATTTTGGTCTATTTTTCAGCATCTTTTTGATTTCATAAGTAATACATAAAACTTTTGAAAGTGTGTATTGTAGTTTTTAAATGTAAATTTTATACAGTTCTGTGTAAAGACTTTAATAATCTCTTTCACAAAATCTATCATAAATACACTATAAGTTGCTAAGTTTAATAAAATTGATTTCTCTTTGAGATTTCTGCTTAGAAGTGTACCATTTGGATCATAACCTACACTTTGGCAGTGATTCATACTAAGAATGTCACTGTATTTTCTCTCCTTATCTTGTAGAATCAATACATTTTTTAAAATGCCAGTTCTCTTTTGCTTCACTAAAGTTCATGTTTGTGTTTTGATGGGTTGTCTGTTTTGAATAATGCTGAGGCTTCTTTTATCTTCCTCCTTCCCTCCCTTCCTTATAGTCTTTTTTGAGACAGGGTTTTACGGCGCAGTTCAGGATGACCTTGAACTCACTTTATAGCCAAGGCTGGCCTTGAACTTGCAGCTATCCTAGTGCTGGGCTTACAGGTGTGCACCACTGGGTTTCTTTTTTTAAATTTATTTTTATTTATTTTTTTAAGCAGACTGAGCAACTTCATTGAAGGTAATGGGTTTCTTTTAAAAAATAAAATCTTCCTTGGATTCTTGTGTTCTTAAGTTCTTTCACAGGTACAGATCTTTTTTTTTTTTTTTACCCTGAGTCATTTAAAAATTCGCTGTCAAAATTGTTATCCTCAATGTATGAACATGTGTTTACTACAAATGATAGAACTCTTCCTCTCAGCCATAAAATAATCATCAAAATACACATCCATAAATGTATGCCACCTGACACTCACACCCCATTTAAGTTTCACCAATTGTCCCAATAATGAGCAGCAGGGTCTATTTCAGGAAACTTTGTTGTCAGATTTTTCATTGTGGAGTGGTTTATCATTATTTGTTTACCATTTCCACCATGCCTGGCTGTTTGAATATTTTAAACGCTCAATATCTGTTTTTGATACCTAGTTTCTGTTAGCATTATGTACCATTTCGTATGTCTGCAAGTTTATTCTAGAAATAGAAATCTTGCTTAGCTTTCTTGATATCCCTCATCGTTAGAACAGTGCCTTGCATACTTCAGAACACTAGTTTATTTCAGCCGTGGTATTCATATTTAAGGGGTAGGCAGAACAGATAGAATGTATTAAAGTGATTTTACTCTAGGACACACACCATAATTTAGAATTTCTGAACAGCAGATATCAAGATCTAAGAACCATAAAATTAATTTTTATAAAATTCTACTTAAACTTATTTTGATGTGATAGAATTTAACACTAATCATTAAATATGTATGGCGCATGATCCTCTAGCCATCTTCAAATTCTTCAAAATCATATTATTTGAATTCTTCCAAGAACTCTGAGGGTACTTTAATCAGGCAGAGGGAAAAAGTATGTGGATTTAATTATGTTGAATTAAGTTGTTTTGTGGTATTTGACTTGGGATATCCTCTGCATCTGACAGTAATTTTCTTCATAAAGCACATATGTAGTAAGAAAACTAGACCTTGTTTCGAGAGAACATATAAATCTTTTTTTTTTTTTTTTCCAGTACTAGGAATTGAACCC